TACTCAAATCTTGGCACATTACAAAGTTAAGCATTACCTGTATTTGAATCTTGCAAATCTGTATTCGTCATATTTGTATCATCTTTTAAATAATTGAATTTGTAGCTATTTATAATATTTTTTGAATTCTGAGAAGTTGGAATATGATAAACTTTATTGAGATTAGGGATAGTATGCCGCTGAACATTATGGTGTGAAAGGGTTCTTGTTCTTGTTCTTGGCGACGATACAAAGGTTCGCTTTTCTGAATCTCGAACAGGAGACCTTGATTTTCTTGATGGGGAATCATTTCTCAAGCTTTGAATGGGAGATCTAGATCTTGATCTTTGTGGTGAAAAACTATGCCTTGACCTTTGTGATGGAGAACTGCTTAATCTTCGTGATGATAAAGAATTACAACTTGACTTTTGAGGTGAACTATGTTTTGATCTTCGTGATGATAGAGAATTACTCCTTGATCTTCGTGATAATAGAGAATTGCTCGATTTTAGTGACGATAGAGAACTACATCTTGATAATTGTGATGATAGGGAACTGCTCCTTGATCTTCGTGATGGAAGAAATCTGCTCCTTTTTGAACGATTACGAAATTTTCGGACATTTGATAACGGAGAACGGAGACGAGTTGCTCTTATAGGCGACTTGTGACTAAGTGTTTGCGCGGGTGATAGTTTATGAAAGTATCGTTCAGAATTCTCTCCATAATATTCTTGTGAAGGAGGTTTATCTTGTCGATGTGCGCAATCCCACCCGTAACTTGAGCAATTAGACATAAAGTTAAAAAAATTCAATTTCATATCGATATTAATAATGCATAATCCTGTTTGTGGCACGTTATGGTTACACGGCCTATAAAGGTATCATGAATTTCGACGTAGAAAAATTTTTTAAAGTTCATTAATATTAGGGTTAGCGTTTTGTATAAGGTTAAAAAGTGGTATTATGGTAAAATCGCACAAAAAAACCCTTTATTTAGAGCACTAAAGGTGGTTTGGTTTATTATGCAGTTTTTTGAGAAAGAAGCGATTTTTGACAAAACGAACGTTTGGTTTGAAATTTTCTGATCGTACTACGTTACACCTGATCCTCGAAATCTGATTTGTAGATCAGGAGATCTACGTCACTAATCTAGCACAGATTTCGTAAATGCGAGTTTCGAACATGGTGCGGGATGGCTTTACAAGTTTTATTGTAAACCACAAGAGTCAGAGCCACTTTGCGGAAGTAATGCTTTTTGTTACTAAATACAGCAGATTATAGCATTTAGCTTGCCGAGTGTTTGTGCTTAACAATAATCCCCATTTGATCTTGCTTATTTGTACATAAATAAGCTTTATGTAAATCCACGTCTCCGATTTGCTATAATGCAGTACCGTAGCGACTCTGATAATTTATAATAGTAACTATCACTTTGACAAAATTAAGGTGATCCTAAATTTGAATCCTTGTTTAAGTTTTATTATATTTGGTTGGTTTAAATAATCTTTGCTTTATTGTAGTTCTATATAAACAATAGCTATTAAATCTTCCGATTTTAAGCTAAACCGTTGATTAGGGTTTAGGGCACAGTGGTGCAAGGCATGCCCCTAAGGGCATGCCTCAAGGCCAAAGGGCATATCTTCCCCAGCATCGCCACCAAATTTTTTTCGATCACGTGAAAGATCCACCAATCAGAAATTTTCAGTTATCGCCA